ATTACAATAGCTTGTCAAAGTCCAAAGCAAACTGGTCACCAAGTCAACTCCCAAACCGCAAAAGGAACCTTCAGATGCTGACGCGTTTCGAGGGACGCTCCCCTCTTCCTCAGAGCCAGTCCTCTGAGGTCCTCCTCGTGGTTTGGGAGTTGACTTGGTGACCAGATTGCTTTGGACTTTGACAAGCTATTGTTAACACAGTTGTTTGTCAGTATGTACTTATCCTTGTATTATTCAAGTTTTTGTCTCAGGTAATGCACTAGGCTGGTGCGCCCTTTTTCCCTTATTTTACAGTACAGCTTCTATGAATGGAGCAGGGATGGGCGGAAAAGGCAGGCACAGTTGGCATTTTTGACAAGTACCTGCGACAGATGGAAATGCTCATATAAAAGTAGAACCTAACTGTATGTGAGCACTGTAAACTGAAAACTATTTAATTCATTTTTATTATTCAAAGCAAACTCACCTGTCCATCCATGTCTCCATGCTTTATTTTTTTGAGAAATCACTTTGAAAAATACCCACCTAACATTTCTAGTCGTGGCAATCTTGAGTAAGGACAGATGATTCGTCTACTATCTGCTTCGCGAAATCCATCTGTCCTTAGCTCGGTCATGAAAGCAGGAGGGTGTGCTTAGCTGAGAAAGACCCTCCTCCCTGGGATGTAGGATAATTTGCTCTAGGACAGAAAACAGGAGGCAAATGAAGAATTGTAAAAAACAAGTAAACAAGTGAATATAATATACCTTCCTATCTATTTACTAATGCTAGCAGCATAAGGATCAAAAATAATTAATGTTTATTGAGATAGTTTAGTTCCACTTTAATCCCCGCAGCACTAGAAGCTCACAGCTGAGGAGGTGAAGGGGAATGAAGATATCATGAAATATAGCAACCACCAGCACAAGGGACCCTCAGCATTCATGTAAATACCATCTCTTGTGCTGTTATAGAGAGATCCTTTAGTGTAGCCATAGCCTAACACCACCTACTATGGCATAATCCATTAAGTGTGGAGCATCCTTGAAAGGTGACATTCTTGTTGATTTGGATGTTAGTGATAATAATACAAAAATGCAATAAAAAATGTGTTCTAAGCAGCCACTGAGAGCGTTAAAGATTTAATAGCATGCCACAAAATGACTGTGCAGAACTAAATTTGACTCTCTGGACATGAGTAATCATGGAAAGTAGATCAATGCAATTAAAACGTTTAATAACGTATGAAGGATTGATTTACTTAGCTTGCAAACTCCTTTAGATTGATGTACATTTCCAGACAGGACTGCAGTTCAAGCTGTTAAGGTAGGGCTAAGTCTATAATGCTGTGTAATGCTGGCAGTTTTATACCAGGCATTTCCATATAGTGATGAATTAAAGAAGACTTATCATTCATGTGTGATCTGCATCCCTGTCTGCCCCAGCTCCCTCAAACGCGTAAATGGTACAGAGGTTTCAAAAAACACGGCTACTTGATGCCATGGCAGACAGTCATCTGATCAGTCATGTCATGTGACACTTAACATCGATTTGGGAGGACTGGGAGGTCCTCCCTTTCAGCAAAGATCATGTGCTGGCCTATCAGTCACGTGACTACTCTCTATGTCCCTGGTGCCTGCTTGCAGCCTGAGGAATGCATGCAGCCCTTTGGTATGTGATGTGTGGTCCTCAGACCTCAGCAGACTGTACATGCGAGCGCACGAAACGCTGATGATTGATGATTTTATGCTCCATGTGGTTGCTATTTTTTTAATAAAACATACTATACTACTGTATATGATACTGTCTCCGAGCTCGGTCTATGAGCTTGCCCTCTAGGAGGAATCCCTTTCCTTGGTTCACCATTGGCTGAAGATGGAGACTTGGCTACTCTACCTTTGTTCATTTGGTGCATCACTGGCTTCTGGAGAGATCCCACCTTCAACCAGGAGGAACAAGCAGGAACACCCCTTAGTCTCATTCCGCTCTGGACTTGCTTGCTACTTACTTCTGGTGAGTGCATTATGGTGGAGGTGCAGTGTGGAAGTCACTACATTTTGTTGATTTGATCACATCACTATTTTTGGGACTATTATGATATTTAGAAAACTTATATATTTTCATTTGTTATATCGTCCATTTCATTTCTTCATTGGAGAATTCACTATTCTCGATTTCTTTTTTATGATGTTTCCTTTCTCTTTTACTATCACATTGGTCATCATTGATTATAACACACATTTTTATTAGCGCTGCACATTGATATTATAGTGTAGTGGGAACACTGATTGGGGTATTGATCTAGATTAGCCTCACGTGGCATGTTTCCAGTTTCGTATTGTCTTCTGCAGTATATCCCCAACCAAAAATGTAGCATGTCCACTCTCTGACCCTCATTTCCTCTATTAGATCTGCAGTTTGACAGTCCTCGCAATCATTACATGTATGAACATTATGTACGGCCCTTTGGTGATGTCAGGGGCCACATGTGAGACCCCCTTTAGCTCATAAGTTGACAACCACTGCTCAATGGGATCTTAGAGCAGCAATTTCTCCAGGCACAGTAAGTGGCTTCTGCTACCATGTAACAATTTAAAGCAGAACACAACACCAGCCAAAAATAATACATTCAAAATGTAAAGCACATTAAAAGACAAAATAACAACATCATCTTTTGTGGCAATATTTACGATAAATCCTGAGGTTTTCCCCGTAGTACTTTTTTTTGCTATAGATGTCCTCAGTCTGATGGCCAGCATCATTCAACCCACTTCCTCAGAGCCCAGACTGTCATGGACCCACCCCCAGCCTGTGACTGGACAGTAAAAGGAGAAGCAGCACAATGATGTGCTCATCTCTCTGTCACTCTACTCCCTCCTACTATCAGTATGCTTTGTTTCAGGACATGAACAAATTGACTCTTCGTGCTGCTACTTCCTCTTACACTCCAGCCCTGTTGTACAGACACAGAAAAAGGATGATACCAGGTCAGCTCAGGTGCTTTAAATGTTTGCATTAAAAAATAAATGTAAAGATGTATTAATGATTACAAAGCTGCATTAATGTGTTCCTTTTATATGTACACAGTGTTTATTTATTTATTTTATTTATTTCAGGTACTTATATAGCGCCATCAATTTACACAGCGCTTTACATATATATTGTACATTCACATCAGTCCCTAACCCTCAAGGGGTGTACAATCTAAGGTCCCTAACCCACATTCATATATACACATACTAGGGCCAATTTAGACAGGATCCACAATTAACCTAACAGCATGTCTTTGCAGTGTTGGAGGAAACTGGAATACCTGGAGGAAACCCACACAGGCACAGGGGAGAACATGCAAACTCCAGGCAGGTGGTGCTGTGGCTGGGATTCGAACCAACAACCCTAGTACTGTCAGGCGGAAGTGCTAACCATTTAGCCACTGTGCTTCCCTAGTGTTCAGCTTTAAATGTGTGTAATGGGCAGAGGGAAGGAGGAAGCAGGGGCGGACTGACTATTTGAAAACTCGGGCACTGCCCGAGGGCCCAGGGTCGGTAGGGGGCCCCATGAGATGCCCCTGGTACCTTTCAATGGCTTTTTTTGTGTGTGGTTTGAGTGTGGGCGAGGACACAGGGGGCCCCATGATCCCCTATTGCCTAGGGGCCCCATTAGTTGTCAGTCCGCCCCTGGGGGGAGGGCAGAGTGACAGAGAGAGAAATATACTATACCAACCTAGGTTGTATATGTTACATTAATTTTATTCTAAAATATATAGCAAATGCATTAAAAATGTAGTATGCCATGCGACTGCACTTGACCCCACATTGTTTAGCTTTATAGTAGTAACCTGACCTTCTAAATGCAGCACTCCCTTCCTCATGTCCCTGAAGGGACATGTGGAAGAACTTTTATTCATCAGCAGCTGCAGCTGCTGATCAGTGTGTTCTGACAGCAGCTGGTGCTGCTGTCAGAATACAGTGTCCTGAAAGGGGAGTCCCACAACCAGTTTGTTTGTTTGGCCCACTGGCTAAACAAACAAACAATAAAAAACTGTGTATGGCCAGCTTGGTATGGCTGAAAGAATACAGTGTTTTGGTGGGGGATTCCTCCAACCACTTCTTTTGTTCAGACTGCTGGCTGAACAAACAAAAACCTAACAGTGTGTGCACAATTACTAGGCAAGTTGTGCTTTTGATGATTAATTTCATTATTGAACAATTACAGTGCTCACAAGTCAATCCAAAATGTTAATAAACTTCAAACCTGAATATTTAAGAAAGTAAAAGTGAGGATTTGTTTTTATCTTAGGAGAATATCTACGTGTGCACAATTATTTGGCAACTATTTGTTTGGAGCATTATTATGCAACTAAATGAAAAACAAACATTTTCCCATCTCACTTGTTTATTTTCATCTGTTAAAGTAAGAATAATAAACAAACAACTCAAAATTTACAAATAAATATTTCTGACATTTAAAAAAAAAAAAAATCAGTGATAGGTATAGCTACCCTTCTTTTCAACCAGTCATAAGCCTTCCAGTCATGGAGTCTGCCAGTTTCTTGATCTGTTGACGATCGACTTTTTGTGCAGCAGCAACCACAGCCTCCCAGACACTGTTCAGAGAGATGTACTGTTTTCCTTCACGTAAATCTCCTGTTTAAGGAGGGCCCACAAGTTCTCAATAGGGTTTAGGTCAAACGAGGGAGGGGGCCATGTCATTATTCTTTTATCTTTAAGGCCTTTACTGGCTAGCTATGCATGAAGTACTTTGATGTATGCGATGGAGCATTGTCCTGCATAAATATCATGGTCATCTTGAAAGACTTTTTCCTGTACTACTGCTTGAAAAAAGTGTCTTCTAAAAACTGGCAGTAGATTGGGGAGTTGATTTTCAGTTCATCTTTAACCCAAAAAGGTCCAACTAGCTCATCTTTATTAATACCAGCCCATACCAGTACCCCACCTCCACCTTGCTGGAGTCGAAGTGGAGCTCTGTGCCCGTTACTGATCCAGCCAGGGGCCCATCCATCTGGTCCATCAAGAGTCACTCTCATCTCATCAGTCCATAGAACCTTTGAAAAACCCATCTTCAAATATTTCTTGGCCCGGTCTTGACGTTTCAACTTATGTGACTTGTTCGGTGATGGTCAGGTTTCAGCCTTCCTTACCTTGGCCATGTCTCTGAGCACTGAACACCTTGTACTTATGGGCACTCCAGGTAGGGTTGCCACCTCATCCCTTTAAACCCGAACACATATTAATTACACAGGTTCTGAGGCTAATTTAATGCAGATAAGGCATCAAGTGAGTTTAATTACCATATTAATCAGCCACAGAACCTGTGTAATTAATATGTGTTCGGGTTTAAAAGGATGAGGTGGCAACCCTAACTCCAGGTAGGTTGCAGTTCTGGAACATGACAGCACTGGAGGAAAATGGGTTCCTGGTAGCTTCAAGTTTGATTCTTCTAAAATCTTTGACAGTTAATTTGTGTCTTTTTTCTCAAAAAGTTTGATGGTACTGTGATCACGCCCCAATATCTTAGCAATTTGAAGAGCGCTGCATCCCTCTGAAAAACTTTTTGCAGAGTTAGTTAAAACACTTTTTGGCCCATTTTGCCTGAAGAAAAGAAGATGCTTACTAATTATGCACACCTTGATATAGAGTGTTGATCTCTTTAGGCCACACCCTCCCTTATTACACAAATATACATCACTTGATATGCCTAAATCCAATAAGCATTAAACTTTATACAGTCACATGTCCCGTAGACCAAAATGGGACACCAGCACGAGAATGCACACAGCACCTGTGCATCCCGCTGCTGGTAAAAGACAGCTCTGCACAGAACATACAGTAAATCATCCTGTCTGAACAGGGCTTTATAGATATATCCCGAGCTCCAGTGCAGTAAAAAAATATAAAAATAGGAAAAACAACCAGAGTCCATGATCCTGGGGGAGTCCGGACCCATTTTGTAGAACCATGGCAAGCACAGAGGACTGTACACTCTGCCTGTTTGTCTAGCCACATGCCGCCCAGCCACCGCATATAAACGGTGGCAGGGCGGCGCTCGTAGGCAAAAGCACGTTTTAAAATGTTTGCCTACAAAACAGGTAGGGGGCGCGCGCCTTACCTGTCCCGCGGATGTCAGCAGCGGGTCTCCGCCGCCGGGTCACGGCCGTTTTTTTTTCCGCCGTTTTCCCGCAATGAGCGGTGAACACTGACACAGAGCAGGGCTGCATTGTTTACACACAGCCCTGCTCTGTGACAGTTCGCCGCCAAGCTGCAGAAGGAGAGAACAGTTTCTCTCCCTTGATCAGCTTCCCCCTCCCCCTCCCCCCCCCCCCCCTCCCCCCCCCCCCCCCCCCCCCCCCCCCCCCCCCCGTCCAGTACACCCCCGCCCCCTAGTAAAACACTCCCCTTACACTGAAAATTCTAAAAATGTTAACCCCTTCCTCCCTAGTGACATTAGTACAGTTTCAGTGGGTTTTTTTCACTGATCACTGTATTGGTGTCACTGGGGATGTCAGTGACCCCAAGTCAGCTCCTCCCCCAGTGTCAAAATGTCCGCCGCAGTCTTGCAGTCCCGCCATAAGTCGCTGGTCGCCGTCATGTGTCGCTGATTGCCGCCATATGTCGCTGATCGGCGCCATTATTAGTATAAATAAAAATTAAAAATCCCAGTATCTTTCCCGCCATTTGTAAACATTATAACTTTCACGTAAACCAATTAATTTACACTTATTGGGTTTTTTTTTAGCAAAGACATGTCGCAGAATGCATTTTGGCAGAAACTTATGACTAAATTTGATTTTTGCATTTTTTTTTTTACTGGACATGTTTTATAGCAAAAAGCCCAAAATATTGTTTTTTTTTCCTCAAAATTGTCAGCCTTTTTTTTTTATAGCGCAAAAAAATAAAAACCGTACAGGCGATCAAATACCACCGAAAGAAAGCTCAATTTGTGGGGAAAAAAAGGATGTAAATTTCATTTATGTACCGTTTTGCATGACCGCGCAATTGTCCGTTAAACTAGCGCAGCGCTGTATAGCAGAAAAAATGGCGTAAATTGCAGTATTTATACCATAGTTTGTAGATGCTATAACTTTCACACAAAGCAATCAATATACACTTATTGGGATTTTTTTTACCAAAAACATGTAGCAGAATACATTTTGGCCTAAATTTATAACCAACTTTGAGTTTACTATATATTTTTTATAGCTGAAAGTAAAAAATATTGTTTTTCTTCAAAATTTTTGGCCTTTTTTTGTTTATAGCGTGAAAAATAAAAAGCGCACAGGTGATCAAATACCACCAAAAGAAAGCTTTATTTGTGTGAAAAAAAGGACGTAAATTTTGTTTGGGTGCAGCATTGCATGACCGCGCAATTATCAGTTGAATTAGTGCAGCGCCGAGTAGCAAAAAGAGGCCCAGTCATTAAGGGGGGTAAATCCTCAGGAGGGCAAGTGGCTAGTGTCATCTGATTATTAGGAATGAGCAAAACAGAGATTTTTTTTTTTACCTGAAATTTTTGCCAATATGCATTGGAGTCAATAGTAAGGTGACCAGCTTTTCAAAACGAAATCTGGTGGCACCATACTGACCACTCCTACTTTTATTGGTGATGGGGCATGTGGTGGGGTTAATAGCACACACCATGTGTTGGGTGTTGCCCGTGTTAACAGTGGAAAGGGCTTAAAGGAGTATGGTTTAACCACTTACCTAATGGGTACTTTCAATAAGCATTCAACTTTATACAGCTTGGAGCTGGACAATATGTATAGAAATGATGATTTGGTCAAAATACTCACTTATCTAATAATTGTGCACACAGTGTAGTTTGGTAATGCACCATGTTTCATAAGTGCCTTTGTTTAGAAAATAGTTTTTTATCCTTTTTTGTGTCCCAGTGCTGCTGTTCTCCTGCAGTCTCTTTGTGCTACTTTATGTTTACATGCACTCCAGCAATGGCTGCACAGCATTTCCCAGTGTGGGTTTCCTGATGGTGACCACAGCGGACCATGCTTGTGCAATGTTGCTTGTAGATTCCATTGCAAGTGCATGTGACAGGGTGACAACACAGGAGATCAATTGGAAGACCAGGATAGAGCCTCGTCACTCTAAAAGAGAAAGGTCTTGAAAAGGACCTTCACGACAGCACCACCAGCTCCCACCCTAATGCCCCGTACACATGATGAGAATATCGGATGAACGATCGCCTGTTTTTTTTTTTCGCCTGCTAGTCTCACATTGAAAGTGAAAAAGTTACTAAAGATACAAAAATTCTCCTATGAAAGAAAAGAATTTTGAAAGTGATGTCATGTATTGTATTGTATTTGTATTGTATTTTCAGACAACTACTGTACTGATTAAACGAAAATCGTACAATCTGGTATCGTACGAGAAATATTTTTGCGCTTTTCCCTTCGGATATTGTCGTACAAATTGTCGTGATCGGCTCTCGAAAGCTGTGTACTAACGATCCTCGTACAAAACTTTTTGTACAATTTTCTTATAGTGTGTACGGGGCATAAGTCTGAATCCAGACATGGATGCCTTTGCATAGCTACATTGATCCAGCTTGTAACTACTGTATACTAAAATGTCCATACCTGAAATTCAGCATTAATGAAAAATGAAGGTTTAAAAAGACTGAAATTGACTTTTTAAATGGCAATAGGATGTTAAAGATTATATAAGGTTTTAGTGAAATACACTCTAACTTTACAGCACCTGCTTAAACCTGAAATATCCGTTTTGGGTGGACTGACCCTTGGAGATAGGAGATCTCAGATCACAGAAGTGTGATGACCAGACTGCATTGACCTTGTGTAAACTGCAGGCCACTATGCACTTTAGATTGATCCGGGGACATTAAATAGTAAAGAGCTGCAGAGTACATTAGTCTGACCCCTCCAGCTGATGCTGCTGTAGACATCATCCGTCAGAGACAGTACCACCCCTAGGTGGCATCACAGGCCTGTCAGTGGTCACCCTTTGCAGTCATTTGTTCTCCTAGGAATGGTAACTGGGTTTTATATTCAGGGATGCTGCAGTGTGATGTAAACACATCAGATTCCTCTGACTGTCTCTGATACATGTAGTGGTATTGCCCAACAATGGCCTCCTAATGGGCCATTTAAACCATAAAGCAAAACTATTTTTGCTGTTAGTATGTCAGAGATATGTTCTGCTCTGATAAGTATTGCATGCTCCGCTTATGTACAAAAAACCAAGAATGTCTGTTTTGGGAGTGCGTTAGTCTGTGATTTAAAGAGGCAGAACAGTTATGTTTTACTTTGTCTAAAGAGCATTTTAAATCATTAAAAGTGAAGTGTGGTATCTGAAAAAAAACAAACATACATACTCACCTAGTGATCCAATGCTGAATCTGTTCCCCACCGTCTCTATGCCAAAAAAAATGAGAAATCAAAGACTGCTGATCGCTCAGTTCTCGGTTTTCAGTGAGCAGAGAACTGGTGACTGTCAGTCACTGACTCTCTGCTCTGGCCCTCCAGTGCTTACTGGAACAATGGACTGTGGAGGGTAGAGTAAGGCTGGCTCAGGCTCTCAGCGGCACATTGAGAGGCTGAGCCAGCTGCCAGTCAAGCATGTGGGCAGATCCCAGCATTATTGTCGGGATCCCTGCAAAGCCTGGACCGGCTCTGTGATGCCTTGTCTCTCGAATCTGCGTCACAGGAGTGCAGAAATAAGTGCACCCCTGTTACTCACAGGAGAAGTATGGCCAAAAGAGCTTTGGCCATACTTCTCATTTAAGGCTTCATGCACATGGTCATACAGCGTGCAGAGTCTGAGTGAGCAAGGACCCACAGCTTCTGCATATAGATGCCCATTGAGATGAATTAGAAGATGCGGCTATACATGGTTATGTGCCAGTGATTGTGTAGAGCACCCACATGGATGTGTTCTCCAAACGCACATTATCTGTGTTTCGAACATATGACCGCACATGTATGGGTGCTTTCCACAACCCTTGGTGCAAAACCACAAACAGTCACATCTTCTAATTTATATCAATGGATGGTTGTATGCGACAGCTGCAGGTCCCAGGAGAGTAAACATGCAGGCACCTACGTTTGTGTGTGAAGCCTAAGGCCCTGTTCACATGGGGCAATTTATTTATTTCAGGTACTTATATAGTGCCATCAATTTACACAGTGCTTTACATATTTATTGTACATTCACATCAGTCCCTCAAGGGGTGTACAATCTAAGGTCCCTAACTCACATTCATACATACACATACTAGGGCCAATTTAGACAGGATCTAATTCACCTACCATCATGTCTTTGGAGTGTGGGAGGAAACTGGAGTACCCGGAGGAAACTCACACAGGCACATGGAGAACATGCAAACTCCAGGCAGGTGGTGCTGTGGTTGGTATTCGAACCAAAGACCCTAGTGCTGCCAGGCGGAAGTGCTAACCATTTAGCCACTGTGCTGCCCAATTTGCTCTGTCTTTTACCGGCAAAGGCATGCACAGGTGCTGTGTTCATTCCCA